AGCACTTACTGTGTTGATACAGGTGCTCTCTTTACTGGGTTTTTTCTCATTCTCTACGATAATGGGTATGCTTATCGATGATTTGATGGTTCGCTTCGAGAAGATTAGTAAGGATGAGTCTATCGATACCAAGGAGATGGTTACCTTCATCGAGTTGTTGGATGAAGCAGTTCAGTATGCCGACCAGAACAGGGATGTTGCTGATAAGAGGGGTCAAGTTCTTGAAAAGTTGGTCAAGAAGCTTTGTGATAGAAGCCCTATCGATGCTGATACGGGTATTAAGCCTATTGATGAGTTGCGTCATGTGGTTTTGACTCCTAATGTGTCTTATTCTGATGTTGTTCATCAGCAACGATTCCGTTGTCCCACCATTAATTATCAGTATACCTCCGATGCTATAAAAGGTGCTGGTTCTAGTAAGAGTCGTAACCGTTTACCTTATCTCCATGTTGATTGGTTGGGGTTTTTGGCGGTTCCTTCTCTCCAGCAGGCGGATATGAATTCGTTCGAATGGTTGGTTATGAATATCCCGGTACTGAGGTCTGTTATGATACTACCAGAAGTTTGGGGGGTTATGCAACCTACCTTACGTCTCTTTGTTCTACACGGTAGGACGAAGTTTCGCAGTCGCTACGCTGGTAAGGATGTTATCAACGCATTGGATATGGATTCTGAAGCTTTGGTGCGTAGTCCTACTTTGTGTACTGTGGGTCACGTTATTAGGATGTTGGTGGTACTGACCTTCTATGATGCGTTAGGTCTCTGGGATATTGATCCTCATCGTCCTCCTGTTATTGCATCGGGTGCGATGACTGATGGCGGTTCCTACGACAAGAGGGTTAGAGCGTTGACTAAGCCGGTTTACTTCAGTCTAATGAGGGTATTTACTATGTACAAGACCGTCTTCTGGAGGTGTCTGTACAATCATTATTATGATGATCCTCAAGGTAACGCGGCTGCTCTTTCTGCTCTAGAGCCAAGCAACTTTGATCCGATGGCTATTAGTACCTTCCGTCGTTGGGAGTGGATCTTTGGTTGGTTGGACGTTAACAGTGTATCCGCTGAGGCTGCTGTCCAAGCTGTACACAAGATTGAGCAGAGTTATTGTTATAAGGGCTCTAATGGTGAGGCTGAACAGCAAGGTAGTTCGTCGAGCTCCTCTGAGGTTGGGGAGTACGGTGACTTTGGCTCATGGGACTAATGGTTTTATGATACACTTTGTCGGATATGATGAAAGATGAGGATAAGGTTGATGATAGAAGTGTCTTTCATTATTTTTCTGCTGTGGGTTCCCCTTGTTATGGTACCACAGTGTCAGTGTTGAGAAGGTTTGTATCATACTTCTGAACTTTTCGAGTTTCGAGGCTCGATCTCGAATCGATTCGGTCCCAGAAGTTATATAATCGATTGGCTCAATGTCGATACCGGGAACCGAGAATCGATCTCGAATCGATTCTCTCGATTCAAGGGCGCCGGTTCGATCCAAGGCACCGGCATTTTTATGTATTTTCTATTTGAAAAGTTGCGCACAATGAAACCACTGAAACCCAAACCCGTGACATACAGCCTATAAGTTTTGAGTTACTGCTACAAATAGTTGAGCCGCTATAGTGTAGCGCTGCTAATTGTTGTTGAAATAGTAGCCAAGCTGCATGGCCGGCGGCCGTTAGCCGCCGTGTCACGGCGCATTTCGCGCCGTTCATCGTTAAACGAAGCACTGCTTCGGAAGCACATAGCCTAGAAGTTTTCCTGCGTATACCATCTGATTTCGTTTGTCGTAGCACAACGTACCATTCGCTTTCTCATGCCTACATCGAATGCAGCAACGCCGCGAGGTCAGGGTTCCGGATTCTTTCCACCCGGTATTGGAGGTGGCTTCTCTGGTGGCAGAAAGCGTCGCAGGATTGAAACTGGGATAGCACCCATTATGGATCTGTCTTCTGAGCACAGCTCTCCTGAAGCGCACTCTTGCTCTCGTGGTGTTCTTCGACGCTCTTTTGGTGCTCCTTCTCGCTCCTCTGGTGCTCCTCCTCGCTTCTCTGGTACTCCTTCTCGCCCCTCTGGTGCTCCTCCTCGCTTCTCTGCTACTCCTTCTCGCCCCTCTGGTGCTCCTCTTCGCTTCTCTGGTACTCCTTCTCGCCCCTCTGGTGCTCCTCCTCGCTTCTCTGCTACTCCTTCTCGCCCCTCTGGTGCTCCTCCTGGCTCCTCTAGTGCTCCTTCTCGCCCCTCTGGTGCTCCTCTTCGCTTCTCTGGTACTCCTTCTCGCCCCTCTGGTGCTCCTCCTCGCTTCTCTGCTACTCCTTCTCGCCCCTCTGGTGCTCCTCCTGGCTCCTCTGGTGCTCCTTCTCGCCCCTCTGGTGCTCGTTGTCGCTCTTCTGGTACTCCCTCTCGCTCCGGTGATTCTCCTCCTCGCTCCTCTGGTACTCTCTCCCGCCCCTCTCAGATCTCAGCAAGAACTGTTGAGGCTCCACCTGATGCCTACGCTGAACCGCCGTGCAAGTCTAAGCTAGATTACGAGAAATACGACACTTGCCCCAAAGAAAATCGCCGCTCAAAGCCAAGCAGGGTGTGGGAGCAGTTTCATGTCATTCGGTGCAAGCGAACTGGGTTTGTCTACCCAGAGCGCGCGGTCTGCAAGAAATGTGGACAGGTTTACTCTATGAGGAAGCAAAATACTTCGGCGCTTCTATGCCATATCGACAACGGATGCGACGAACAAAGGGATCAGCCACCAATAGCATCGTACTTTTACCAGAAACGGAAGGTCAATTCCAATCAGAAATCTGCTGTGAATGCGGCGTTGGTTGATCTGCTGGCATGCGTGCCTGGTATAAGCTTCAACGGAACCCAGATAGCAGCATTCAAGAAATTCGTTGAGGTCGCGGCTCAGGTGGGGGCAGAAAATAGGTCGGGCTTCGATGCATCGCAAGTCTTATTTTGCCCCAAGACTCTTACTGACGACATGTTGAAGAAAGGGGCGGACGCCACAGAGAAGATTAAGAACCACCTAGCTCAGCAGCCAAAGCCAATAATGGTAGTACGGGAAAAGGTCAGCAGGGGATCGGTATTGGGAAGGCGGACTAACGGAGGTATCTGTCAGCCTTGCAATCTGCGAGTTGTAGATACTTTTCGACGGCTGGACCAGCCACCATAAGCACGAGAATGTGCTTGGAGTCACCACACTTTTGAATGTTAACGACGTGCAGCGGAGCGTTCTTCTGGCACTGGAGACACCAGAGACCATGACCGCTGATGACATTCAGGAAAGCTTGGAACGGGTAATCTCAACGTTAGCGACTAATGGTTAGTCCATAAATATCGACTCTATATTTTTGGACTAACCGCCAGTTAGTCCATTCATCGACTCGATAATATCGAGGAGCAATGGATCACTGAAGCTCAGTGAACAGTATTAATGTTTTCAGGTATGTTCTAGATATCAAATCCCGATAGAAAAGGTGCTATTTGCCAGTGATAGCTGTTCGGCGAATACGGCGGCTCTCGGGCAAGGCAATATGGCCTCCGTGTGCTGTTTTGCACATATGGTGCAAAACGCCCTGAAGGCCGGGATGACACACCCTGTGGACAATGCGATAGACAACTGCGAGGATGCGCTACGCAGCATGAACACTGGAGAGACTCTTGAAGCTTTTCTCGAGGAGCAGGCAACGGCTCCGGTCGAGTCGGTTCTTCTGACAAGCTCGCGCCTCGTTGCGTACTTCAAGAGGTCGAAGCTGAATGGCAAGCTAGCACGTCTTGGATACAACAAGTAATAGAGTCGCTGTGTATGTTTCAACGGTCAGATCAGGCTAAAGCGAAGGAGCACAGTTCGCTGGGACTCTGTTTATGAGATGATCGATAAGATAATTAAGAGCTGGTCGGGTATTGAAGAACTTCTCAGAGAAAAGAATAAAACGAGGTGATACCTTAAGTCAGCTTAGTAAGATCCAAGCTTAGAAAGCGTCCAGCTGTTCTAGGCCAAAACTAACCAGTAGTGTTAACTTTATTGCGCTCAGGAACTTCCAGAACTTGCTTTCGAACAAAGAGCTATTGATTCAAATTCGTAGCTTCTTAATCCCTTTTCGCATAGCGACCAAAGTTATGCAAGGGAGGAAGCCGGGAACGGCAGTAAAATCCATTGTGTGAGTCAAACGGAGTGGTTCATTTTCTTCGCCTTGAAGTAGTCTGTGAATCCTCAGGAAGCTTGAGCGGTGCTGGATATTCCTTCAAACTTCTCCTCCTGGAGAATTTGAGGATTTGCAAATGGTACGCAGTAACGTCAAAGAGCAGTTCTTCCTGAAGGTACCTCGGAATGGACACGTAGTTTCCGATTGGATCTCTCGATTGCAGGTCATATGTAACCTTACCCCAGACGCTTTGCTCCCTGCAATGTTGCACCCTGCAACGAAGGTCAGAGGTGTAGAGAAGCTAAAAATGGTTACTGAGTATAGAAGACGTATCAAGGGTGAAGAGTCTATTCTCCGCCGTGAGGACTTAATCGAAGCGCTAAAAGGATGGTCGCTCATCACCGAGAACAGCAACGAAAACAATATACACACTAATCATAGTACTAGCGAGAATGATGCTGCTGAAGCTAATATGCTAGAACAAGTGGTCGAAATTGCTGACGACAGCCTCCTGCAAGGATTGATTGACGTGAAAGACTTGCCTAGGTGGAGTGAGAGGGGTAGGGACAGAACAGCTGATGAAAAAGCCCTGCTGATCGATAAAGA